GCATGCCGTGGAGATCACCGATATAACAAATAGGGAGGGGTTGAGGAGGGGGTCAGTAAGGGGCCGGGTAGTGATGCAATAGTCATAAGCACTTTATACAAATACTCTTACCCAACCACAGTACACCGCTGACAGCCCGCGTCCCCTTTACGCATCGTATGCATCGTGCCTACCTAACGCACACCACTTTCAAGTGCGGCGCCAATGATCCCATTGGTTAGCCGCTTGGCGGTTCAGGTTTCCTCGCCCCGGCGGCCAATCACATCACGTCCCCGGCCAGCCCTCATTTGATTGGTCATTGCCTACGGTTTTCCCTATTTGCGCGCCATCCTCCCCCTATTTTTGACTTCATTAAAACAAAAATTTATTTTCCTTCGATTTTCAACATTTTTCGGCTTCTACTTGCAAATTTGGTGCCCTTTGCCGTTTGCCCCGCCCGTTCTTCCCCTCAAAACCGCCATCCCGTTGTACCCGACCCACCTAGAGAGGATTTCTCACTGTGGCTGCCTGTTGGGCTTCTGCCGTGCTTTGCTTCCATTTTCTCCTGGTGGGGTTTTACACAATCGCGCTACGCGAACAGTAGGGTAAGACTATATACAGCCTATATATGAACGACCTACCTTTCAGAGAAGAGGGCTTTACTGGATGTCTCATGTCTAATTGTGTTTCAGTGAGGATTCGGAGCCGGCTATCTACCTCAACCGCCGTGACCGAAAAACAAATAATGACAGTCGGGGGCGCGGTTGACTGAATTATACGCGCTGGATTGGGGCGTTCTATTAATCGATCAACAAAAACAGGTTTCAAGTGTGTCAACCAATGCCCAAGTCTTAACTACCAAATAGCCCCATCATGCCTACGTCTCGGATGCCAACATGGATGGGCTTAGTGCGTAGTCATTTGAATTAACTGTTCGCTGAGGCATAAATGTGACTGTTTTAAGATATCCTTTCCGTATGCTTGGGTATCTTAGTCCACCAGTTTTTATTGTGCAGTGGTCATACTTTTACGACTCCGTATGACGTTGCAGCCGGAACATTTAACCCGCATATTCTGCGTCTGATGTATCCTAGGAGTGATTTTGTGTGATAATTAGTGTCCTATAAGTCACAGGAGGCATTCGGTAGCTTTGCACTTTCCTGAAGTCTGTGTAGACCATTTAATGCCTAAATACCGTTTATCTGACATAGATGTGAATACCTTACTTCTGGTCGCGCAGTTCAAATGTCCCATTTCATTAGAAGAGCCATGTCTTCTGGCTCGGGACGCCTCAACTCTGAAAATGTCAAAATAACCTCATCCTCCGGAGTAAGTGTAGTCAGTCCTGTCGAGTTGACTTCGAGAGGAAGCAGACCCTGGAAGAAGAAATACCCACTCGACCATTTTTACGGGTTCTCTCCTCGTCAATTCGTTTAATATCCACCAGTTACGCTGTCCATACCAAAACCGTAATAGCGAATCAATATCTTGGAACAAGGACTCATCGTCCGTGGCTGCTGGCACTGGAAGAGAGAAAAGAACAATGTCTAAAGTAAAATTTCCCCAGAACCGATCGAGAACTGTCACTTCTCTCTATTCCTCTATGTCTACTTTCACTATTAATATTAATTTCTAACTCTAGCCGGTTCAAAGGGCCGCGGTGTTTGGTTTAAATTGCAACATTTATGCAAATACAGCGAAAGACATGTGGCTTTATGCTGGAAACCTATGCGTTCTACCATCCGAGCGATGCCAGAGCCGCGGGCAGCACAGAAGTGTTGGCCCCGTCAGCAGTAACCTGCTTGACCTGGTTCACAGACCACAACGGGCGAACATTAAGCCTGTACTTTTGACCTCAGCCACCTTGATGGGCGAATTTTGCAAATGAAGGTGGGTGTGTCAGTAGTATATCTCCTTGGCGACCTGCCTGTCTGGGAAGAATCATGTCCTGTCTGCTGTGCCGTCCCCCTGGGTCGCCTTCGTAGTCTGTGATGACTAGTCATGACTTCGGCTTGGGGGAGTAATACCTGCGGCGGGTGTGAACCCCTGTGTGTCAGAAGGCCAACGCTGGCACGCAATCAGAACACGAGCTTAGCAAAAATCCTGACAGTTGCCTGACACGTGTTCAGCTGATTTAATTTGCCTCTGGGCCCGAAACATCATGCTGACTCCTCGTAGGCAGACTTTGCCAGGCAAAACGTCCGGCGTCTCGTCTTGCCATCAGGTTCTCTAAATGTCCCATGTCCAAACTACTGCGTCTCCTTGCCCCCTAAGTACGGCGGATTGTGGCGACTCATGAAACATGCTGGCAAAAATCTAGACGACCATTTTAGAGCAATTCAAATGAGATTCGTAAAAATCCCTTCCTCGTGCAAAATATGATTCGAAGTGATTTTGTGATGGATTTGTTTACTAATTCGGGCGCAAATCAATTCCACCTTATATTTGGGCAGCTATTTACGTTTCTAAATAAGCTAAGTCATATTTATGCATTTATACGCAATTTGGTATCAAACGACACCAATCTAAACAAAAGTGGTTAACCAAACAAACTTTGCTTACATAAAAACTGATTTTTTGTCTGTCCAATTCAGATGAAGCGGGATGTGATAAAGCCCGTTATTTTCGGAGAACACGAAATCTGTTCTGCGTCAAAACTTTAGACTTGCAAATCTGTATGATTTATGCTCTATAGAGCAGTAATAATGCCTGCAGGAAATCTTGTGTTTTTGAAAAATGCCCATATTTCATAAGCATTCGCGAAAAGCCACACTATGAAACAACAAACGTTGAAGGCACCGGTATGGTAAAGGACTCCACTGAACTGTCCGTAGGATGTGAGTCAAGACATCTGGGGTTTTATCTCGACATCTATTTGCAGGCCGTTGCAGGCATTGCATTGACAACAATAATTACTCCCTATGACCTCAAACCATTGCCTAAGCTTCGCTATCTCTTTTAAAAATTACATTTTCTTTATTTCTTTATTGTTGCACTCATTTCTGCTCCTATACGAAAGTGTGCAGTATGACATTCGACCGAAATCCAAACGATTTCTGCGTGCTCTTACACTTCTTCAGCTTACTGTCTGGCGTGCTTACGCACTCGTAGAACTCCCACTGCAAGCATTCACGTATGACTCGATCCACAGTCTACGGAATGTGAAGTGGGGTCCTTCACTATACCGTTGCCACTTTGACTTTTAAACATGTGCTACGACTGCCTTCATACTGTCTGGTTTCTGCCAGTACGCAATCTTAATGCGAAACAGGCAGAGCATGCACGATTGAGCAATATTTTAATACTGATATTAATATATATTAATAGTACATATCATATATAATATAATATATATTAACAATATATATTGATATATGCACATCGTCTTTGAACAAAATCAAAATGCAAGCAAAGATGGCGCAAATGGATTCAGTATGCAGGGGAAAGTGGGATTATTCGTCTGCGGCAGAAAACGCATCAGTATCTGTCATGAAAGTGCATATATGGACCAACCGTTCGAATTTATTCCTTTTATTTGGTAAAACAATACGTAAACAAACAAAGCCTGCCAAAACCCGTCTTCTTGATATACCTTATCCGAGAAGAATCTTTGACTGACCAAGAGTATATTTATCGCAGGCCTTCCTTGTGAAAGTTCATCAAGCTAATAGAGTTACATGGAAACTGAAAACATGAGAAGAAATTGAAATTCTCATATTTTTAACTTCCATGTAACTATATTGGTCCGATGAAGAGTTATCGAAAACACATGTTTGCTAGATTGACCTTTCAAGTTTAACACGGAAATATTCGCAGAAGATTGAAGTTCATTTTCTTCCGTGGCTGCCAGCTGGCTAGATAGATCGGTCCTCGTAGTTAGCGCTGTGGGTATGTACAGTTAGTGACCTAACTCATGAAATGTGTCGAAATTTACGAATGAATGCCAATCACCCAAAAACAACATCATTTCATGAGTCAAATGTCTATGTTAGTTAAGTGCAAGTTTAAAGGAATTAAGAACGTAAAAGAAATATCAAAGGCAATGTTGCGTTGTTTAGAAATGCCAGTTTTTTTGAAAAGCGCAATATCCCGAAAACGTCAG